CCCCCCCCCCGCAAGTGCAATTGCATTAATGTTTGAAAGTAAATTGAATTGTAGCTCAAGGTGGATCGTACACATAGCAACATTATTTAAAAGGAATTATTGCCATTTAGGTAAAATAGAGCAATGGGTAAAAAAAACAAAAACAAAGTACTGATTATATGAATCTATATAGCTTTTTTAAATTTAATGCTGATTTCAAAATGTTCTGATCACCATCTGGCACCCCAGTGTTTGTATATTACCCTAGAAGAGAATTCTCACCCCTCCCCATCCCCAGATGCAGCTCACCATAAGAAAGGTTATAAACTACTTTTTATATGGAATCTGGTTTCTCCAAATCAACTGATAAAATACACCCTATCTTCTATAGGCATGGTATTTACTCTTTTTAGGGCATTTTTTTGTCTGAATTTGAAAATTTTGACAAAGTACTAGAACAAAAGTAAATTGCTAAAATTAGCATCAGTCTATTTCAAAGTATGTCAGGAAGAAAAATTAAGGTGTCTTATTGAATTGTAATCAAGATACAAAGAAAAATAACTAAAATATTTAATTTTCCATCATATTTAGGACTTAATAGGAGTTGCACCGATTTTGTTGGTGTTTTATTGTATAATATGTATTTACTCTTTAATATACTGATTTATATTTCCTATGTTTCAAATGGATATTTAAATATAACTTAAAAGAACCTTAAGTACTTTTTTCGTAAAAGTCAAGTGGTCATTTCTTTTTCATTAAGCGTACAGGGTTTTTTTGTTTGTTTTTAAGACACTAGTTGGAATGATGTGACAACACAACTCAGTTTATTCATGATTTAAATATTTGGTATTGGAAAAATACTTAGAAATAGCTGAATAATGTGAGTTGATAAATTAATGAAAGTTAAAGAACATGGATAAAGCATGATTTACAAATGATTGAACAAATAGTAATCAGAGACCCCAAATCTCTTTTGTATTTTAAGGTTTCAGAATAAGAGTTTGAACCTGAAATATTTCATTTCATTGTTTGAACATTTTTCTGAATGTGCAAAGTGAATCCATAGGCAGGTGTTATAGAAGTTAAATTTGCACTTTCTCTAAACTATATTTTACATATTATATGCTTTTTTGTTTTTTATAACCCCAGTTTCTGTCACACTGGGGCATAGGAAGAAGAAAAATGATCATCATTCGTTTTTCAAGGAACAGTGAATATATTTTGAAAAATGAGATATAATTTTAGAAACTTTCTACATGAGAAGAAATAATTTCAGCAGACAAATTAGTATTAACAAAGTACAATAAACCTACAGAAAAATCTTCCGGCTGTTTTTTAACATATTAATGGATGGACAATAAAGTAAATGTTAACCAAGCCAGCAAAATTATCACTGATGTGTCAAAGTTCAAAATGCTTGTTTATATCAGTTTGATACATATTGTTCTAGAATACATGTTTTTAAAGTCCACATGGTTTTCAGTACGTGTATATGTGTGTATATCTATATACATTTACACATATGCATATATATATCCACATATATAATTTTTTAACAGCGCAGTAACTACAAAAGCAATAACTGCTTATGGCCTAAGAGCACTTGATAACATTTTTAAGGAAAAGAGAATCTTCCTGGACAGTTTTTTCCTTGGCAATTTATTTCTAGAACAAAGAATCCCTTGGGCTGATAAAGTGAACTCTGTTTTTTAAAAGTCATCATTAAGAAGAAACACTTTTATTCAATATTTTCTAAAAGTATATTTAATGTAGTCATATCTTTTTTTTTCAGCATTCCGTTAAGTAGTTAAAAACCCAAACAAGAATTGCTGCAAAAGGCTTAACATTCTGCACCCAGAAATTTATTGAGTTTATGTGTGCACATCCTGAAATTAGGAAAAGGTTTGCTTCTTGAAACATTAAAAGAAAATGTTTTTGCTATAGAATTCCACCTTTTGATTAATGCAAAGCAAGAGCTTTTTTCTTTTGCAGTTAGTGCTCTGCAGATCTTTTATAAAAACACAAACGGCCAGACTAGGTGAAACTCATTAACTGAAGAGGAGGATAAGTGTCTTCACAACCAAGAGAGAGAACTGGCACAGGGTCTGAGTGGAACAAAGCCCCCTTGAAGTTTAACAGAGGCCACAGCAAACCTCAGTTTCAGAAACGCTAACTCTGAAAATCTGACATTTTCCTACAGTTTTGCAGGTCTAACATATCTTTTCCAGTAGAGGCACAGAAATCAAAACCCAGAATCAAAGTTGCGGAGAGGAATGGCAGGGATTGCAGGTACTTTTCTGTAATCTGCATTGGGATGTAAATTGAAGTGTTGTGTATGAGAGTGTGTGCAATTTTGAAGGACATAAGAAGGGTGTTTTGTATATGGAAGGGAGAGAGTGTAACCCAGTTGTCTTCTATTTAAGGCTTTGCTTAGAACCACAACCTAAAGGTCAGAACAAGTAGTCAATCAGACTTCTATCAACACAGATGTGTTCAAACTCCATTCTGCTAGTGACTGTTTACTTTTAACTTAAAGCAAATCAGAGATTCAATCCTGTTCACTAAATGCAAACACCTTCCATAGACTCACTTTAACTACATGGAATAGTGATGATTTAGGAAGACTTTTAAAATAAATTCAAGAACCATAATTATATAAAGAAGTACAAAACAAATTTTAGATATGAATTTGTGCATAGTAGGAAAGAATGAATTATGTGGTAGTAATATAAATTTCAAATGCAGTTCAGAGGATGGATGATATTACCCAGCTGTTGAACACCACCACTAAAGTATGTTCCACTAAAGTATGTTAATCATTTGAGTCCAGTTTTTTTGAAACGCTGTTTTTATCTACCCCCAAGTCTAGGGAGACAGAGAACCAGGATACATTCTATAAAACATAAATAAGTAACCTTTTTCTGCTAGTCAGAATTATCATCTGGGGATATTTCAAAGATGCCCAGACTGGGAACTGCTCCCACACATTTCGTTAGGAATTCGTTCTCCAGCAAGTATTGAAATTGCTCT